TCGTTCATAAGAGAAAGCATCTTCAAAACACTTGGAGGGTGCACACACATGCTCTGCACGACTCCTGATACTTAGTGAAAATATTCAGTTTTCAAATAAAGATAAACTACATGAACAATAAATATTTGAGAATTGGGGGGGGAAAGAAGTAACATCCTCAAATTCGCAAAAATGACCAATTTGCATAACTAAATTGCAGTAAGTCAGATGCCATTTTAAATCATTGAGTGTTCTATATTATGCACCTGATACCTAAAACCCTGACACCCTGACATAACAGATGTGCACAGTACTTACCACAGGATTGAATTAGTACACGCCTATGATTTTCTAGCTAACTTTTTTTCAAAGGGAAGGCTGTCTAGTACACTCTAGTACACTACTTTTTCTTTGACACTTCCATCGCCAAAACTAACAACCTATAAAAATATCTCACATTAATTTAGCACTTACCATGTTCCAGACATGGTTCTAAGCCTTCAAAATATATTAATTCATTTAATCCTCACAGCTGTGTCCCGAGCTACCTGAGAGAGGGAAATGACTTACACAGCAAGTGGGAGACCTGGAATTCGAGTACGGGTCATCTCCAGAGCCTGTGCTCTTAACCAACACATTATATTAGCTTTGATTATAATCTTTTATCAGCGAAATTCTATTTCCAAATTCCATTCAGAGCGTTGTTCTTGGCACAGAGTAGTGAGTTTTATTACTTGTAAGTGTTTGTGTCTCAACACAGGACCTGAGGAATTCGGGCAGAACAGGTGGAAAAGGCCAGGGATGAAAGTGAGCCTATGTGGGTTGGTGGCACAGAGGCAAGTGTTTCCCAAAGTGTGGTACAAGGGTGCCCTGCAGTACAGGATGAGTCTAGAGAGCCTATGCAAATTTTAATAAAGTTACAGACTTAATGTATGATAGGGAAAGATAAATAACACTTTAAACCCTGTGATTTCAGGCGGCAGGGATCATAATACTAAAAACACAATCCCAAATACCATAATCCCAAATGTTGAAATCTGGAAAGATTGAAATCCCTAAAGTCTAAAATCCCTAATGTCAAAGATCTCAAAAATCACAATCCCAAAAGATTAAAATCCCAAATGTTGAAATCCTGAAAGCTGAATTCTGGGGAAGGGA